AGCCTGACAGCGGCGCGGGCTGCCGCCTTCCCGCGGGAATCGCGGCCTGTCCCGCGGCTCTGCCCCCTTTTCCAGGCCTTCGCGGTGCCCTCTCGTGATGCGGGGTGGCCCCCCTGCGCGCCGCGGTCCCTCCCTTCCGCGCTGAGGTCCCACAGGTTGTTCCCTGCAACGTGTGTAATAGGCTGGGGTAAATGGGATTTGCTGCTTGACAGAAGTTATCTGCTTAAAAGAAGTTAATACCTCACGAGCGCTACTTTGCTAGCCGAAACTACTGAAATCTGGCAAACCAATCTGACCGCAAAGTTAACAGGTTCAGGAGTTTGCGGTCCCTCCCTTCCGCGCTGAGGTCCCACAGGTTGTTCCCTGCAACGTGTGTAATAGGCTGGGGTAAATGGGATTTGCTGCTTGACAGAAGTTATCTGCTTAAAAGAAGTTAATACCTCACGAGCGCTACTTTGCTAGCCGAAACTACTGAAATCTGGCAAACCAATCTGACCGCAAAGTTAACAGGTTCAGGAGTTTTCATGTGGGGGGCCGGTGAGTTGCTTGGGCTTTCTCTCCTTTTTAAGGATGATACTGCATTTTGTTCCATTCAGTTACTTTGCCTTACGTGTGTTTTTGCATCTCACACATTTGAAATATCTTACAAGATATTTGCAACTTTGGCTTTTAGGGTGTGTTTGCTTAAAAATATAATAGCTGAGTAAAACCTTGGTGCTCGCAGTCGAAAAGAAAGCGTCGCTTGGATCTTACGGAGTTTTTGTTGAGGTGCTAGGAGAGCGGGCCGGAGCGTTGCTTCAGAAAGTGCTGGTGGAACCCGTGTGCCACCCGTGTGCTGCAGGGCGAGTTGCACGGCGCTGTGAGCAGGGCAGGAGCAGACCCTGGCTGCCCGTTCTCACTACGGCGGCTAGCAGCGCCCTGGGACCCCAGGCAGGTGCTCCTGCCCCTCAGTGCAGCTTTAGGGCAGCAGCTTTTCCTCCCAGCCCGCTACAGGAGCGTCCCTTTCCCTCGGAGAGAGTCCTCCGTCTGTTAGGACCTCCAGAACACGGCCAAGCACCAGCGCTGTTCTCTCCCGCACTCGAGGTCCAATTAAAATCAGCATTGGAGTGAACTCTCAATTAACAATCCGAGTTTAGGAATCTATAGTGAGCAAAGCAAAGCGGGAGAAGCTGTGCTGCGCTTTTACGTACGTTTTGCATTCTGATGGCTTTCTCTTGACTTCTGAACAGCACGCTGCGCTCTGGTCTTGGGCTGCGCAAGCACCTCCCCACAAATGCATGCGTTGAGAGCAGCCTTTCAGTGGACTGAGGAGGGACGTGGACCTCCAGAGCGACTGTTAGCGGTGTTTCCCGTGTCGTCCTGGCCATGCTGCAGAATGTAGCACTTTGCGTGTAGCTCTGCTGTACCTGGGCCGTGTTCGTTGCTTCAGTGAAATCCTGATATTGAGGGAGCTATTTTGTTGTATTGTTACTGCATTGCTTTTTTTAAAAAAAAAAGAAAGGTAAAGAGAGGAAAAGGATGTCAGTGCCTCCTCCCCGGTTTCTGGTGACTCTATGAATCCTTCGCTTCTGCTGCGGTTTAGTTTTTCAGTGAGTTATCTTGAAACCAGCTTGCTTGAAAGGAGCACCACGATGACATTTGACTTTGGCACGGTAAGGGTGAGTGGGGATTTTTGGCATAATAAAGCTGGTTGGAAAAGCTGGCCATCATTCCGTGCTCTCCTTTCTGCTTGGTGTGAATGGCGAGTAATGGGTGGAATTTCTACAAGGTTAGCAAGGCCTCGGCTGCGTTTCCCCTGCGCGTCGCTTACGTGGCCGGCGTGAGCGAGGCCTGCGCGTGGCTGTTGCGTCCCTGCCGGCGCGGGCACACCTGGGGCCGGAGCAAGTGCTGAAGGCGTCGTTGCTACGTTGGCAGCTAGCGCGGGGTCTTTCCTGGCCCCCTTCCCGGTGCGTGCGCTGTACAGAGCGCCTGACGTTCAGCGGGTGGCACCTGCGCGTGGCCGGGGTCCGCAGCGCCCTGCTGACGAGCGTGCAGGTGCTGCCGTTGGCAGGGTCGCGCTAGCGGAGCGCTCGCAGCTCTCGGAGCGCTGGTTTAGCGAAGCTTCGCGAGGAAAGGATTCTGCTTGGATGGGGCGCGCGGCTTGGAAAGGATGCGGCTCATAGGACGTCGGCTCGCTCTTGTTGGTGACAAGAGCGATGACAGCTAATCAGGAGGAGCAGCGCGGAGGTTCCCGTGTGCTCTGAGCCCCTGCTGCTGCTCTTCCCGCAGCGTAGGGCGGACTCCTGCTGCTCGCGTGCTGCCCGCGGCGGCGCGGCCGTTCCAAGGATGACCTTAGGAACCAGCCGTGGAGCATCGTGCCGCGGTGACGGGCGCGCGGTGCCCGCGGGCGCGCCGGCAGCCTCCGGGCTGCTGTGCCGCAGTTACTAAGGGAGCTTCTGAATGAGCCGCTATAAATAGCCGCGCTCTTTGCGAGGAGACGAGGTGCCGCGTTAGCGGGGCCACCGCCCCGGTGCGCTGCGAAGGGAAGTCACTCGCCGTGCGGCCGATTCTGCGTCGAGGTTCGAGAAGCCCCTCTGGGAGCTGCGTGGAGCAGCCGCGCCGCCCTCTGCAGCCGTCCTCGCTGCCGCCTTTCGTGGGGTCCTGGGCGGCTTTAGGAATCCCCACTGCTATCGCTTTTACTCTGCTCCTTGGAGAGAGATCCCCAAGTCCAAACCCCCAGGGTGTTTTTCATCTCCCCATGGATTTTCCTCTGAGCTCTTCGGTCAGAACTTGCGTGGAAAATCCTGTTGCTCAGGAGCGTTGCAGTAGATTAACGTAGTTCATGTGCACAGGGAGCTGCTCGCAGCCTTCTCCTCTGCAAGCAGCCAGGTGGCTCGAAGGAAAACCTCCAAGTTCACGTGCTCACAGCCTGGAGGTTGAGCGCGTTCACTCCAGAGCCTTGTGTTTTCCCGGGAGAAGCAGGGGAGGCCTCGCTGTCTGGAGCAGGAGATGGCTCCGTGGCCGCTTAGCGGGACGCGGTGTCCCGCCTTTTCTCATCCTCCTGTCCGTGCTCCTGAATGACCTTTCTTGTGTGTCGTTAGTGCCTTTCTCAGGTGCATGGGGTCGTGCTCAAGACTGCTGCGCTGTTTCCTCTCTGTCTCTGTGCTTTACAGACCCAGTGGCAAAGCTGGAGGGGGCCGGTTCCGGCCTCGTTTGCCTCGGAACCGAATTGTGACGAGTTTCCAGCGACGGGATGTTTTGGCCTCGCAAACACCGGCCGGGATTTACCGGCCACCTTGATCCTGTCGAATTCGGATGAGTTGCAAGTGTCTCTTGGAGTATGAAAAATGCCCTTTTGAGGTCACGGGTCCAGTCCTGGGCATCACTGCGCAAACACGAGTGACACGGTCCTCGTGCTGCTTGTGGCTGGAAACGAAGCCCATGGAATTGCCGTTGCAATAGGGCTCCCAGCTGTAGGCACTTGGGGCGACAGCTTAGTTGGAAATAAGAAGAAACGATCGCTGCCAGGATGCAGGCCCCGCCGGCCGCCCGTGCAGCCCTCGCTCTTCTCCCCTCGCTTCCTGCGCGCGGGCTCTCGCCCTCGCCCCTGCAAAGGCAATTGGCAACTCTTTTTCAAGAATCCAATTGCAGAACATCCGTATTTCCAGTTAATCCTTTTCCACTTGGGCCTCAGCAATGCGCTTGCTTCCCTGCCTCGCCACCCGCAGCTGCGTTGGTGCTCGTTTCGAGGTCCGTGCTCTGTAGCTCCCAGCTTAGTGCCTGAAGAGGCAGGGAAGTTTTCAGGTGAGCGGCATGCGAAGAAATAAAGGCCAGGACTAGGCATGTAGAAGTGCAGCGAGGATGGTACGATACTAAAACTAAACCTCTGTTTCAGCAGCTGAAATCTTCCCCTGCTGGAAGGCGCATCCTGTCAGTAGCCAAATTAAGAATTTATTATATATCCTCGCGGATCCTCGGCCCCGCCGCGTGTCCCTTGGGCAGGGACTTCCTCCTTGTGGCCAGGGTGCCCGCCCGGGGCAGATCCTTGGCACCTCCTCACCTGCTCAAACGTGTTAATGTCCTTGCCTGCAAATCTAAGACTGCTTTCTCGTTGCAGGATGAGCAGTTCCTAGGTTTCGGTTCGGATGACGAGGTCAAAGTACAGAGCCCCACCAGGTCCCCCACAGGTACGTCCATGTATCAGCGTCAAGAACTGCCTTCCTCTCTTGCTTTGTGGTGGCTTGGGCACATCTCTCCTGCTTGTTGCAGTACCTTTGCATGCCTTGCTATGGGGTAATTACCTGCTGTAGCTGAACCTGTGTGTGTGTGAAATGAAGCAGCGCTCCCGCCCCAGCGCTCCGTTCCACCCACCATGGAGAGCGCTGCCGCCCGGCTGCTTCCCTGGGGAAAGAGGGGCCCTGTCCAGCCCGCGGGGTGACCCGGGCTGGGCAGAGCTGGGTCCCGGCTGTGGATTGAGGCGCTCCACGAGCACGGAGTGATGGCGCCTGGAAAGCCACAACCTGCCTCCTCACCGTACAGCAGCCTCCCCGGGCACGTTGCTCATGGCATACGGACCTGTCTGTTAGCAGAGCGGGTGCACGGAACTGCAGGAGGGGACTTTTTCCCTTCAAATGTCTTTTAACGCGATTGAGGCATCGTACCTGCCTTTAAGAGCTGTTGCTCCCCTTCACAGCCGGGGGGCTGCCCGCTTAGTGCAAGCGCATCTGTAGCTTTGCGAACGGGCAAGCGTGCCTCTTTTAAACTGAATTATTTAAATCATATCCCATGTGAGGGCAGAGGATTCTGGTGAGGGAGCTCCTTACCGGTATCACGATGGAGCTGCGTTCTTATTTATTAATGTTCTGAAATAGTTTTGGCCAGTGGCTGCTAAGCAAAGGCTCGGGATGGCACGGCCCGGCGCTCGCGGAGGTTAACGTGTGCTCTGCGTTCTCTGCTTCCCTCGCAGCCAAGTCGAGTCCGCGCAAACCGCGCGGGAGGCCCCGCAGCGGCTCGGACCGGAGCTCGGCCGTCCCGTCGGACTCGTCCTCCGTGTGTTCCCCCGCGAGCAAGTCCGAAACCGCGTCCATGGAGAAAGCCAAGAGGAAGGAATCGAAGAGCGGGGAGAAGAGGCGCGGGAGGCCGCCGACGCTCGCGAGCGTCAAGTTCAAACTGTCGCAAGTCAAGGACGCGTCGGACGCTCAGAAGGGAAGCGGCAAAGAGGAGAAAGAAAGCCTGAAAAAAATCAAAAGGTCACCCTCCACTACGTTCCAGCAAGCCACGAAAATCAAGAAGTTACGAACTAGCAAACTCTCCCCGCTAAAATCCAAATTCAAGGCAGGGGCCAAACTGCAGATCGGGAGGAAAAGCGTTCAGATCGCGCGCAGGAGAGGCAGGCCGCCGGCGTCGGAGCGCGTCAAGGCTTCCTCCGCCCCGGTGCTCAACTCGCAGCTGGAGAAACCGCAGCGGGCGCGCAAGGAGAAGGACGGCACGCCGCCGCCGCCGAAGGAGGAGAAGGCCGCCGTGAGGCAGAGCCCGCGCCGCATCAAGCCCGTTAGGATCATCCCCTCCACCAAACGGACCGACGCGGCGATCGCCAAGCAGCTCCTGCAGAGAGCTAAAAAGGGGGCGCAGAAGAAGATCGAGAAGGAAGCGGCCAAGCTGCAGGGCAGGAAGGGCCGGACCCAGCTCAAGAACATCCGGCAGTTCATCATGCCGGTCGTGAGCGCCATCTCCTCCCGCATCATCAAAACACCCAAGCGCTTCATCGAAGACGAGGACTACGACCCCCCTATCAAAATATCGCGGCTGGAATCGACGCCCAACAGCCGCTTCAGCGCCACGTCGTGCGGGCCC